TGATACAAGTCCATGGATATGGTGGCGTTATTTAAGGTGGACCACAAAGGTATGTTGTAATGCACATGCAGAGTACTTGGAAGACAAAGATACTGTAGGTAAACTTCTACTTTCAGGTTCTCAAAAAAATCATCAGTAAAGACCTTGGGGTCTTTGATGTTGTTAGCTGCTGTGCGGTCAGCCCCTGCAGCCTCATACACAATGTTGAGGTCCAAAGGGTTGTCACTGACTGAATTTTAGAAGGAGTTCTCCAAGCCTTTCTTCCAAGTGTGCTTTAGTCTAAAAGCTCCTCACAGATAGATGTTGGCTGTAGAGAAGGTGCATTGGCTGGAAATTGAACCTGGGTCTTCTGTGTGGAAGGCAAAACTCTTCCAGTGAGCCACCACTGCCCCCCCCTTTTTTTATGGTGAGAAAAATTTATTACATTTAGAATTAGCCCGCTGGACTCAGTTTAGATGATCCCAATTTTGTTGGCAACATCCAAAGCATCATAATCAGGAGCAAGTCGAACATAGGCCTTCTTCTCTCCATCAGGCCTAATCAAAGTGTTGACCTTAGCCACATCAATGTCATAGAGCTTCTTTACAGCTTGTTTAATTTGGTGCTTATTGGCCTTGACATCCACAATGAACACAAGTGTGTTGTTATCTTCTATCTTCTTCATAGCTGACTCAGTGGTCAGGGGAAATTTGATGACGGCATAGTGGTCAAGCTTGTTTCTCCTGGGAGCGCTCTTCCGGGGGTATTTGGGCTGCCGTCGGAGTCTCAGCGTCTTAGGCCGCCAGAACGTGGGTGACGTGTGGATCTTCTTTTTTTTTGGCTGTGGGCGCCCTTCAGGACGGCCTTCTTGGCCTTCAATGCCTTTGCTTTGGCTTCAGTTTTGGGAGGGGCAGGGGCTTCCTTCTTCGCTTTCGGCGCCATCTTCGTAGAAAGGGCTGCCCCCTTTTTCGATGTCTGTTGTTGGGTGCCTTGTGCTCAGGCTGAACAAAAACACTGCCTGTTCTTTTGCCATCCTCACAGTTGTTGCTCTGTAAGTTGGACCTTCCACTTAACAAAGCACGATTTCCTTCTCCAGGGACTATCACTTGATCATGCTTCTTGTTATGTGCCATCGAGTTAGAACTGACACATAGCTGACCCTCTGGTGAGTTTTGAGAAGCAATAACTTGCATGAGAGATTTCCCACCTTTCTCTCACAGAGCAGCTGGTAGATATGAACCACATGCCTTTGCAATTGCAGCTCAGCTTCTTACCATTAGGCCACCAGAACTCCCTTAGCACTCACTAAAAATTGTGATGTCTGCTAGAGTATGAAACATAATCTTCAAACACTAAAGAAAATTGCTCATGAAACACCAGCCAGCTCCACCACCAGTACGGAAAAGGGATTTGCAAACAATACTGTGATTATGAAGGCTATTATTCAACATCATATTAATGTGTAACAAAGTTGGCTCAGGTGCTAATGAAACCAGTAGTTGTTCAAGCTTTTACTATCTACTAAAATAGCTGCTGATATATTTCTGAACCACTGAGTGCAGACTACTGACCTAAGTTATCAAGTACTCCTACCGAGAAGTTGTTTCAAAGGGCCTTTTCTGTGGTTTTGTGAAAGTTGTGGTTTTTGTAATTGTGAGGGTATAGACACTCAGAAAACCCAAACTCATTGTCATCCAGTTAGAACTGACTCATATAGCTGACCCTCCAGCAGGTTTTTGAGACTGTAAAATGCACATAAGGAGATTAGTCATCTTTCTCCCATGAAGCAGCTGGTGGATTCGAACCGCCAGAGAGGTTAGCAGCGCAGCTCGCTACGGACTACGCCACCAGAGCTACAGTTGGGCCAGATACTGGAGCAGGCAGTGGCCATACTTCACACATTTTTTTAAGGAGGCAGCGTTACCTGGTTGATGTAAACAGCAGATGGAATCGGTGCTGGTCTTGCAGAGTCAAGCTCTTGGTTCTCACTGATGTGCCCAGGTTAATTACTTAATGATCAGAAAGGAAGTTTCTGGAGCAGCATTTCAGACAGATAGAGGTCTGTTTGCTAACGTCATATGGCTGTGAATCTGTGTGTATTCTGTTGTATTCTCTTGGCACCTGGAAGGAGCATCTACATTTCAGGTGCATGGCTGCAAGCTGGAATTGACTTCCTAAAGTAAAGAAGTTGGTACAATCAGCTGGTTGTCCCTGTCTTTCAGGTCCTTGTTGTTGTGTACCATCAAGTTGGGACTGACCCTCTAGCGGGTTTTCAAAAGACAGTAAATTGCACTGAAGGATATTGTCCATCTCTCTCCCATGTCTTCCAAGAGGCACGTCAAAGTATATTGTCCTAAACTAAAACTGTGCCTCACCCACGTCTAAAATTCAGGGTCCATAAAGGTTAATCATCTAATAAAATAAGAACATTTCCCTTTGGTGAAAGTTTACCTTTATTTTAAGGGCGTGATATTGTCAGAGCTGGCCCCCTCCCACCCCAATTTAATCAGCCTGGATAAGAGGGACCAGGGCGGAGGCGGAAAGCACAGCATCACTTCCCTTTTCCCAGACTTATTTTTTGACCTTAACATGTAATAAATCTGCCTGTAACATCCTGGTGGTTATTGTTATGTCATTTTCATTTCCCTGCTGCTCAGGAGTTACTGATGATTTCAGCTCCCCTTTTTAGAATAACTTTTCATTTAAAATTTGAAGAGGACAAGAATTATGAAACTATTCATTCGTTTGCTCACAAAGCACTCATGCATCCTCACTCTGTGCTCTGGGTTAATGAAGACAAGTGGGCACTGCAGTCCTGTCTGCTAGAGGAGATGTGTGAACAGAGCCCAGATCAGAGACAGGCACTATCAACAAGACAGTGTCTGAAGCAGAGCTCTGGTGATGTAGTGGGTGGGGAGATGGCGCTGCTGACCCACAGGTGATTCAGATCTACCAGTCGCTCTGAGGGAGAAAGACAGGCAATCTCCTCCCATGTAATTTATAGCCTCAGAAACCCACTGGAGAAACCCACTGAGTGAGTTTTGACTCAGTAGTAATGAAAGAGAGAGTGTCTGTAAAAGGTGTTGGGCGTAAGCTTGTCCCTGTGTGAAATTTAGCTGCCAGCCTTGAAATCTTCTGACTTATTAAATGTAATGTAAATGGAGCTTAGGGCTTCAAGTGGGACCTAAATGAAGCTTAAATAACTATTTTTCTGCTTTTTATTTACTTTTCAACAGATAGTTATTGAGAACTGGCCAGTGTTCTAGGTGCTAGGGTTAAAGCAGTGAACATCACCACCAAGTCCCAAGCCTCACTGAGCAGAGGGGAGAATTGGACACCAAGCAAGATGTGCACTATATCCTAACTGATTGTTGTTCGTAGGATGCCAGTGAGTTGATTCCATCTTCGTTATCTAGTACTGCTTTAACAGAAATACCACAAATAAATGCCATTAACAAACCAATTAATCTTTTACATTTATTAAGTCAGAAGTCTCAAATTCAAGGCATCCGTTCCAGTGGAAGTGTTTCTTTCTCTGTAGCCTCTGGGGAAATAGTCTTGTGTCTTTTCAACATCTGTGGTGTCAGTGTTCCCTGGAGATCTTGATCTCTGTATGTCTTGGTGTCACTCTTCCGGTGTGTCTAGGAGCTTTTCAGCACAGAGACTCTAGATCTAAAGGATGCACCCTAATCCTAGCTCTTCTTTCTTGTGGTAATGAGGTCATAGAATTGTCTTGGCTGTGATCATCACTGGAAGAGATTGCCAGGTCTTTCTTATATAGAGCCACTGGGCAGGTTCAAACAGACAGTCTTTTGGTTAGCAGTCAAGTGCTTAATCATTGTGCCACCAGGGCTCCTTACATACTGAATTAGAAGGTCTTAAAGACTGTGAAGAACAACACAGTGGGGAAGAGGGGTCATGAGTGTGTTAGGGGAACATGGTTGCAATTTTAAATAGGTTAATGTGATCAAAGAGATCTACACAGAAGAGGTGACTTGGCACAAAGACTTGCAGGAAATAGAGGGTCAGTTCTAATAGGATCTGTGACAGGGGAATTAGTGTTAGGCCCTTGAAGTGAGGGTTTTTCTGGAGGGTGCAGAGGCCTTCAGGGTGGCCAGTGAGGCTAGAGAAAAGGGCAAGGGGAACAGAAGATGAGGCCAGAGGAGTAACAAGTGGTAGAAGAGGTCAGGGAGAGACTTACAGGGCATCTCAAGGAGTTTTTTTCCCCCTGAAATTGGTTCCTTGCACCCCCATTTCCAGTCATCTGATGGCTGGTTGAGCTAATACATATTTGAGTGATGTCATCATTTACATTCTTGTTTCCTTTCATTGCCCTTGACAGTGAAAAACTGTCAAGGGCAATATTTATGGAGTGTATGCATGTATATCTCCACTCTGTTCCATTCTGTCTGACACTAAGGAGATAAGAGTTGCTTGTGGATAGAATTGCTTCCCTTTTCAATATTCTGATCTCTGGAGGATTATAAAGATCTGTAATGCCCTTAAGCTCTTTATTCATTGTGTCTAATTCCTTTTAATTATACTGGCAACATAAATCTGTGTATTGTAGTTACTTTAGTCATTAAAAGCACAAAAATGGATTCTTTCTAAGGCCAAATACAAGCTTTTTAGGCATATAAAGTGGATTAATAAGGTTGGCTCAGCATTAAGCTATGCCAGAGCTGAGTCCAAAATGTATTCCGGTACAGAGATGACTTTCTGTGTGGCCTCTCTGGCTCTGGAGCTAATTTGGATGCTGAGTAGCCCCGCAGGTATTTATATGTAGTGTTTGGTATTTTTACTGGATCCTATTCTTCTCCCTTGGATCACCTAAAATGGTTAAGAATTTTCTAGTGGGATTAAGGTTATGATCTCTGGGGAGGGGTGGGACATCTGCTCTTGGTTATTTTTGTGTTAGCCGCTTCCCCTTAAATGTATGTTCACAAATGGGCCACAGTCTTATCAGCTGGGGGAAAGGGAAGACTGGTCTAGGTGCTGCTCCTGAACTTGGCCTCTGAGCAATGGCTTCTCAGAGACACTCAGGTAAAAACTTAATTCTTCTCAGTCTTAAATTGAGCCGTTTTATTAGAACAGTGGATCCATCTTTTAACTAAAAGATCCTTTTTTATTCATGAATTTCCTTGCATCTACATAAGAAATCAGTCCTAGTTTCTCTGTTTTGTTCTTGGCGTCTGTTAGTAGTTCAAAGACAAGATTATTCCTCTTCAGGTAAAAATAGCAATTTGAGTTTAACTTGTATTGAGAAAATAATAGGTAAGATATTGATGTTTTTTACATTTCCCATCTTACAAACCTGTAAGAAACCGTGTGAGGAAAGAGGGCTTGTTTTCATTTCAAGAGGAATTTTTGCTTACTTTTAAAAATGGTATCATTCATCTTGATTGTTTTAAGTCTAATTCATGGATTTTCTGAAAGAGGTAAAAGTTTGTGAGAAAGACAGTTCATAATGGCTTGCTTCATCTTCTGCTTTCTAAAGAATGTTTTTTAATCATCTTGAAGAAACAGCTGCCATCCTTTTGACATGCCAGAGGTATTGGTAATGAATTGTTCTTATCAGAAGAGAGGCAACGAGGATTCAGAGCGCTCAGATAGCTCTTCAGTACCATTAGTCCTCTTGGTTTTGTAACCTGATGAAAAGGAAGCCCTTGAGCCTCAGGATCAAGAAACCTGTGGAATCAGGGCTGAAGCACAGGGAGCTTTCTGAGAAAACCAGTTCTCTGAAGGTAGCCAGCCGCACAGCTCTCCCTCAAAGCTGCTAATGGTACTGCTGCTTTATTATTCTCTGCCTAAGTAACACTTCCCTTTCTCTGAGCTGATAAAAAGTAAGACAGTTGAGTCTATAAACCAAGCACGTTTTGTTCTGACTCTGAGCTTTCAGTGAAAAGGACAACATAAGAATTGGTGACAAGGTTTTGGAAAAATTTCCTTCTGAAAATTTATAATTGCTTGTCTCTTTTCTTTTTTTTCTATTCTTTTTTTATTATTAGATTTTATTAGTTTTAATGAACATTTACAGAGATTTTTGGGTTTTCATTCATTCATTGTTGCACTGTTTTCTCCACCCTCCTCCCCAGTTCGTTATTCTCCCCCCCCCAATGTCTGTTTTAATTGTCCAATTGCCACAGTGCTTGTCAAAGCCAGTTCTGATTAATCTCCTTTGTCAGTGTGTCCTTTGCCATTCCCTATCACTCCTCCCTGAGAGAGACTTCACCCTGATTCATAAGGAAAAGGCGAATTCTCTTAGCTACTTCGTGCTGAAAAGGGATGCTGTGGGTTTCAGGGTGAATGTCTTCTCTCACTACTCTAAAGGGTGCTTGTCTCTTTTCAAACAACTGCAATACTTGTAGACACTTCTTTTGGTATTTTGGAGCAAATACACTGCACTGAAATTCCCTATCTTTAATAAATTCATATGGATTGTCTTCCTTGTTCCCAAGTTCCTTGTTCACATTCTGGGTTCCCCCTCCCCAGCCCTCACCTACAGGTGCCATTTTGCAAATATTGTATCACATGCCTCAAGATTGTGTTTATCAGCCAACATTACACATTCTCGGGTGTAGGCAAACTGTTCAGTACCAGTTGTTCTAAAGTACCTGGCATGCCTTGTTAACTGGTAGAGTAACGCCCTGTTTTATTTACTAACGAAGTGGCAGAATAGGGAACTGTACTTGAAAGACAACATCTTTATAGCTTACTTAACCTTGGGTTTTAAATTGCACCAAATCCTCATGTCGTTCTTGCTTTTCTATGTCTGGAGGCTATAATGTGGCTGGAAATTAGATTATTGATACCTTTGAGATGCGCTTTAAAAAAATATTTTAATCGTTTTTTTATTCAGTTTTCTTTCCCCTTCCCTCCCCCTTCATTCCAGAATGCACGTCCTGTTCCAGATTGTTAGGTGCATTACTCAGAATGCCTGATCACCCATTCTTTTCAGATCTATTTTCTCTTTTAGATGTGTTTTAAAATCAGGAAGTACTTATTTTGTGTTAGATTAGGGTCATAGGTCCACTGAAGCCTCACAGAAGGAAAATCAGCATTGCTTTGTATAGACAGAATGCAGGCTCAAGTGATTGAATCAAAATCCATTTTTCGTGTCCCTCCACTAAATAGCAGGGGCACAAATGCAGGCTTTTGTTACTGAACACTTTGAGTCTGCCACTTACATGGCTTTTGCATCTTCACCCTTTGGCCTTTGAAGTTGAGGAATGTGGTGGGGGTGAGGAGGGTGGTAAGATCATTTGCCATTTTCATCCAGCCACTAATTCCCTTTCCTAGCCTCCTGGGCTCCACACACCTGTCAGTCTCTTCTCAGGACAAGGATGGAAAATGAGAGGGGGGGGAGAGCAGAGTGATCAAACTGAGTTCGCTTCTTAAAATAGCTAAAGAAATGGTCGTCAGAAAGATTTGGTTGAGGAAGAAGCTGAGCGTTTTGTCTTGTTTAAGAGCCATCAAATGACTGCCTACTACTTGCCACGACTAGAGAAACTGAAAACACATATTTGACTGCTGGCTCAGAGGGCTTTCTTTTCTGTAGAAAAGACAGAATGAGTTGCACAGGTAATAATAAAAAAAAGCTTCCAAAATAAGATGTAAATAAATAAGAAATTGATAGTATTAGGAAACGCTTCAGAAAGGATGAAAATAGTATTAGGCTAAAATGGGTTCCTGGTGAAAGTTCAGTGACACCTAATTTTCAGTTTAATAATCTATATCCAACCCTTCTGATGCTAGATATACTCTAAGAGCTTTACCTATACATCAGTGACCCAGAAGTTATTTATGGTTGTTTATTTCCTAAGAGCAGTGTATAAGAGAAATTGCTAATAGCATTGACTCATTCTGTGCATTTGCTGTTTTTAAGAGGGGAAAATATTTTCCGATTTTCTATGAAATCTGATGAAGAATTGCTTCTCAGCCGTGACTCATGAGCTCCATCTCACTGCAGCTATTTAGAAGTTTATTCCCAAATGCCTGACGACACCTCCAGGTGCATTAGTTTGTCTTCTACACAAATGTCCTATTCATCAGCTAAGGCTTCACTCCACTTGTTGAGCGTTCTCAGGAAAGCACTGTACCCCTTCTTTAGAAGCCAGTGTTTATATGTGGAATGACTAATATATGGGTATGTTGGACTTAGCGATTAACAGACCAGAAATAGCTTGAAATTTTTTTCCCCCACTTGGGTTACTGTTCATTGTTCACACTGTTCTTTATACCACTTGGAAAAAGCACATAGAAAAATACTATCCAGTCAAAATATTCACTTTTCCTTACATATTCTTATTTAGAGTCCCTTGTGCATGGGTGGGAGGGGGGGGAATGAACATTAGCAAGAAATACATGAGAAAATGCTAAAAAAAACACAAGCAAGACTCGTTAAATGCAACTGATCTTCTCTAATGAATGCCTAATGTTGTTGCTAAGTGCCATCGAGTCGCTTGTGACTCATAGCGACCCTATTTACAACAGCCCTAAACTCTGCTCTGTCCTGTGCCAATCACACTGTCTCTGACACGCCCATCTCAATTACCCCAGTCACTGAATCAATTCACCTCATAGAGGGCCTTCCCTTTCTGCGCTGTCCCTCCATCCTCCCAAGCATGATGTCCCTCTCCAAGGACCGGTCTCTCCTCACAACATGTCCAAAGTATGTTAGACAGAGCCTCAGAATCCTTGCCTCCAGAGAGCTGCCTGGTTTGACCCTTTCCAGGATGAATCTATTTGTTTTCCTAGCAGTCCATGGTACCCTCAATACTCTTCTCCAGCACCACAGCTCAACGGCATCAATTCTCCTTCTATCCTCCTTAGTCACTGTCCAACTCTCTGATGCATAACAAGTGATAGCAAAGACTATGGCCTGTATCAGACGCACCTTAGTCTCCAGAGACACACCATTGCTCTTCAGGACTTTGGAGAGGTCCCTAACAGCAGACTTTCCCATGGCAATACGCCTTTTAATTTCCTGGCTACTGGTACCGAGTGTTGACTGTGGAGCCAAGCAAACTAAAGCTGTGAACAATCTCAATCTCGTCATCATCCATCCTGAATGAGTGCCTAATAGTAAGAAAAAATAAACGGCTGTGGCAACATTATATGTACATGGTCAAATTGAAAGCCAAACTTGCTATTGAGATACTGTGGCTTACTTAGGCACCTCTGAGCATGTTGGAAGTGCTTCAGGAATTTTCTGAAAGAGGAAGTTTGTTGATTAGGTGAAGAATGATGTGTCTTTTGGAGCAAGGGTATTAGAATGTCAGGCTGCCATCTTGGAATAAAGATCTAAAATGGGATCACCCTGCACATTTCTAAATGTCCCCTAAGCTCAGTGTGTGAAGGACTGTAGGTTAGATTTTTGCACCTTAGAATCACATGAATGGTGCCCTGATTTTCTAAAACAGATCTGTGCTGCAAAATATATCTAATAAACGGGTTAGACACTTAATGGCAGTAACCTCTCAATCTGTCAGTCAACAGGCAGGCCCCGTGTCAGTTCCAGTCCACAAGGGTTTGGTTTAGGATTCCTAGTATATTTGCAGAGTTTCCTGTGACGGAGAAACTTCACTGCTGTGTACAGATGAGAGCATTAAAATAGCCAAAGAGCTGCCTTAGGGTAGATGTCATGTCCTTGACAAACAAAGGTAGTGGGATTACATTTATCAAATATGAAAGGTTTGCCTTCATGATTGATGATTGTGCTCTTTTCCAGATAACAGGAATAGGTCAAGTCCAGCATATTGGGATGATTTAGAAGGTTAAAAGGCTTCATATGTCAGGTACTTAGATATTGATTGCCAAAGGGTTAAAAAAAGTGACCCCTGAAAAGATGAATGCCTAAGTATATGTAATTTAGTAAGATTAGAGAGAATCCAAGAGAAGAGGTGAAAGGAACATGCAAAGCTTTTCACTTGTGAAATTAAAGCCTAATGGTGACTCCTACTCTATCAAATGAAGCCTACAAGTCCAAGTGTTCTTTTCCTTTTAAAAGCCTCTTTCTTGACCTCTGCCTATCTCAGCATCTTCATTTCTAAAGTATTTTCTTAGAGCTGTTAATCTTCTTGACATTAACTATCTCTTTGTTGTTGTTGTTAAGTGCTGTTGAGTTGTAGGCAACTTGTAGCAACCCTATGAACCTGGACACCTGTATAACTTTTATCCTTTCTCAAGGTTCATAGGGTTTTCAGAAGCAAGCTATTTCAGAAGTGAATGCCTCTCCTGCTTCCAAGCTTGTTTTAATTGGGGAGCTCCACCAAACACTGTCCACCATGGGTAACCATTATCACATCGGACACATCAGTGTCACAGTGTTCAGCTTCACAGCAACCATGAGTTACCTCTGTACAGCAAATGGACAGACCAGGGCTATACGACCTAGAAGAATATTTGACAAAAAAAAAAATTAAAAACAGGCATGAGGGCCATGGATTAGAGTCACTCACCTTTGGCTTGGTAGCATCACTTTCTGTCTACTAGGCCAACTGAGCTCTCTCTATGCAACAGCTAACTATCTCTTTAGGATGAATATATTATTTCAACCTCATCCTGAACAGAACTGTGTATAAAGGTTGGAAATAATTTTCTTACAAAACAATCATACTGTTAGAAAACCATGTGGCAAGTTAATTCAGGTTGCTCAGAGTTCCACTTCGTTAGATTTATTGCCCCCCAAAAAGTACTGAAGTTCATAAATTTGACATAGACATTTTTAACATACTTCAAGTATTTCCAGCCTGTTTACTTATTAAGCAATAAAGCCAACATTCTTAGAAGTGCCTATTTTATCTAGACAAACAAGTGTTTCCACACATACACAAAACAGACTTCAAGTCAACTGTTGAAATCAGTTCTAAAAGAGGATGACCTTTGGAAAGCTGGTTTTTTCCATCTAGATACAGACTCTTTGGTCTTAAGTGTATGGCACTAGGGAAAATAACCTTGGATTTTTCAGGTCACAGAAAGGGGAGGGGAAAGAAAACTGCTAAAAGCTAAGATTTAAAAAAAAAAAATTTCTAATTTTCCTTTTCCTTGCTTTAAGACCCTTAACTATAGGAATGATACAGTGGTGAGCAAGCTATTCATTGGCTGAAATGTTCAACCCACTTTGGCACTGCCATGTTCATTGGTAGGCCCTGTATTATTTGGTCATCTGGATGCTCAGAAATGTCAATTGTGATTGGTGCTCTAGAGATCGGAAAGTAGCCAATGAGGAGCTTGTCACTGACAACTTCTGAAACTGTGATCGTAAAAAGTAGGGCAAGGCTTATCAGGTAAGCACTATAGTATATTTTGCCTTCTCTTTAAAACATCCAAACACCTCTAAGTAGAAATCACTGTGTTTGCTAGAGTCTTGTGTATATGCTAATATCTGGATGTTTACCAGAAAGTTGCTGTTGCTTTTATGAACCTTCATTCAGAACCAACTCCTAGTTGACCCTCCAGTGTGTTTTCAGAGGCTATAAATCACACAGGAGGAGATTACTCATCTTTCTCCTTCGGAGCATCTGGCGGATTCAAACCACCTGCCTTTTTGTTGGCAGCACAGCTCTTTACCCACTAAGCCACCAGAGCGCCCTATCAGAAAACTAGGACCCCAGAATAACTATGGCTCAATGTGGATTAATATAAAGCCATTTGGAATACATTTCTTCTTTGAAAGTTATCCAAAGGGAGTGATAGCAAAATGAGTAGGTTCATAGAGTTCTCCTTTATAAGGGAAAATGAGGGATTGCAAACATGGCCCAAGAAGATAGTCTGTGAAGTGCTAAACCAGCTATGATTACTAGCCATGCAGGAAGCAGGGCTGGCTAATCTTCCAAAGTTGGTTTTCCTGCCAAATGGCAATTAGGAGCCACTGCTAATTTCATTTCCTTGGCTTTCACTGTTTCGGGAGATGTCCTCCGCTCAGCTCTTTACAGAAAGAGGTTAATCTTTGTGCAGTGCACAATTTCAACGTGGAAAAGCTAAGACAAGGATTTTAGGTGACTGGGTGGGGGGAGGTAGAGGAAGAATAAATTCAGGAGGGTGATTTTCAATATTCTGTCTCTCTGACAGATAATTTTAAAGATAGAAACACAGAAGCTAAAGGCAGTTGGAAAACTGCCTCGTATAATCAGTACAAGAAGAAAGATCCTAGTTTCACTGTGCTCTTACTATGGGCATCTAACTCAATTATGTAAATATAATGGAGCAGCCTGGCTTTCTGTTTAGGGAAAAGTCGAAGAAACCAGGCTCTAGTCTTAGTCAAGCTCTGTGATGCAAGTGTTCTTGCAAAAGTGTTTGCTTCATCTGCCAGTTCTCTGGAGGTGTAGGGGCTGCGCCTGCCTGTGTGACAGCAAGGCACTGAGAGAGGCTGGTCCTGACAGCCTGCTCCTCAGTGGCCAGATTCTCTCTGTTCAGAATCCATGTGGTTCTGAGTGAGAGTTCAAGCCTCCTTTGCTAAGGCGGGTTCTGAGACACAGGGTGTGGTTTCCTTAGCTCACTCTCTGCTATTTGGTTGCCTGTGGCAACAAGGAACCAAACAACTTGACCATGTGTTTGTATAAAACAAACTAGGGATGGGACCCAAAGTGGGAGTTTGGGGCCATTCCGAGAAAGAGCGCCGAGGTGAGTACTAGGCAGCTGCACGCTTCTTTTTGTTCCTTCTTTCTCTCTAAATTTCCCCCGGGAAATGTGCACTAGTACCTTAACTACGTTTCTAGAGAGTTAGAGGAAAGAGTCCCTAAATTCTGTTTCCTGTGCAAATTAAATAATTACTGTTTACTCATGTTAAATTTTCTTTTTTTCCTCCCCAGGATGAGGAAATAAATTAGCATATGTTTAAATCTGTTGCCAGCTAATTAATAGAAACTCCCATTTAGGTGCCTTTTAGGTGGCAGGATGTGTGTGTGGGGGGGTGAGTTTTTTGGGGGGTGAGTTTGTCTGTGGTGACAGCCGCCCAGCAGGGGTGGTGGGAGGCAGGGAGAGGATGGGCCATACAAAAGGCCAGGACTCTCAGAATGAGTAACGGTTTTAAAAGCCATGTTTCAGAGTCTAGTTCAAAATGTCAGTTTTCGAGCCAGCAACTGCCCCACAGACTAAAACACTGCTGTGATCATATTGATCCCCACTTGCTTGAACTAAGGGCTTCCATTTCACTGTGCGCCCTTCCACCCCCACTGCCCCTTACGGTTACAGACAAGCCACAGGCAGGTTTCCAGCACCATTGAAGAGGTGGGTTGTAGCAATCCCTTAGTACTGTCAGTAAATGAGCTGAGAAGAGAGGGATTTCAGCCTCTCCTGCCAGATTTCATGTCCATGTGAACCATTTCTAAATGCACTCAGGAGGCTTGTTGTGCCTAGTGTGAAGGTGTGTAGCATCAGCAGGAAAGTTTGAGTAAAACGAATTGCAGCTATGGGGAAAGTGAGGCTCTGGGTGGAGGAATGACAGGGGAGGACTTCAAACTGATGAGAGGGCTTCCTGGCTTCCAAGCCAATGCAGAGTGGGCCCTGTATGTGCCCAGCAGCCCTTGGGGACAGCTCTCAGCTGCCTCTCTTCCGAAGAATCAATCACATTCCTGACCACACCTTGGAAGCACTGCCAAAGGCTCTTCTTTTTACATAAGATGGTGTCTTCTTTCCTGCCTGCTCTCTTATTCCTACCACCTCTTCACATCACCGCTCATGGAACCTGCAACTCCCTGAGGCCCTGTCTGTGGTCCAGTTGTTTCCCCTTGTGTCCTTGGTGAGTCAGTACAGTGGTGTGTCCAAGCGAGGGCTTCTCCCACTGCAGAGACTCTGTTCCAAGTGCCTCTAGCTGGTGCTGAGGGAGACTTGGGGGTTCCTTCTTACTAGGAGTCAGGGACAAATCTCTTGTCACCTTGGTTCCTGAGGACCAGCTGGACTGGAGCAGAAGCTGGTCTCCAGACCCCATCGATTCAGGCTGGCTTTCTTGGACCTGCACAGAAGCTGCCCTGGTGTCTCCCAGAGTCTCTCCTGCAGAGTTCCTTGAGGCAGCAGTTACTCATTTGTTCTGCCCTCTTGCCTTCACAGGTCCTTCGAGCTACAAGTTAGGCACCATGTCTGAGAAAACAGATTGCCACTACTGCCGGGAATCACTTCAGGGGAAGAAATACGTGCAGAAGGATGGCCACCATTGCTGCCTGAAGTGCTTTGACAAATTCTGTGCCAACACCTGTGTGGAATGCCGCAAGCCCATCAGCGCGGATGCGAAGGTAACATGGGACAGGCTGGGCAAGCGAGCGCATGGTTCCCGTGGCCTGCTGACACCATTCTGCTGTCTCTCCTCATCACTGGGGCCGCCTGAGTGACAGGCAGAGCAGGAAGCAGAGACCCAGCCAGGTGCAGTCCTTGAGGAATCCCTTTCCACAGTCTGAAGCTCTGTTCCTTAGCTGTCCAATGTGGCCATTGGCTAGAGCTCTTTTTAGCATTGCAGGTCATTCTCTAAGCCAGTTCCATCTGTCCATCTGTAGTTGTCACAAAGAATGTTTTTGAGTGTAGGTATCAAGGGACTCTGCAGCCTGGAGAGCCAGGTCTGGGGAAATCACTCTCAATGGGAGGTGCCTGCTCCTGCCTCCCTGGGACCCAAGGAGGGCCTCACATTGTCGCGTACTCTTTTTGCTTGATTCTTAGGAACTGCATTATAAGAACCGCTACTGGCATGACACCTGCTTCCGATGTTCCAAGTGCCTTCACCCTCTGGCCAGCGAGACCTTTGTGACCAAGGACAACAAGATTTTTTGCAACAAGTGTACCAGTCAGGAGGATTTCCCCAAGTGCAAAGGGTGCTTCAAACTGATTGTGGCAGGTACTGCACCCACTCACAACCCCCTAACCCCTGCCCCCCAGGGCTAGGTCACAGGGCCTGCCAGGGAGGAGGCCCCCAGGGCAAAGATGATGTTGGGTTTGCTTGTGACAACGGGGCTAATGTTGCTGTGAGCTGCTTTTAGAGTTCTAGCATATATATGTATACATATATATATACACGTATATATGCGTACACATATATGCTCGCACACACGCACACATTCGGAAACTAAAGAACACTGGAGAGAGAACTGTCTGTGGCGAGGAAATGAAGTGAACAAAGTATGTAGCACTTTCTCATTTGGGTATAGTAAGTGACCAAAGCATGCTTCTTCCTTTAGGGTTCTCCTAGTGGTTCTAGAATTCTGGGGCCAGTCATTTCCCCTCGACTGAATTTGGAAGTCCACAGAAGGCCCCAGAGGGGGGAGGAGGGAGTCAGAGGCATCTACTCCTGAACTCATAAAGCACAGGGGTCCCCCCCACAACAGGATCCTTGGGTTGGCAACAGCAGGAGCCGGACACTAGCACCCAGGCCCCACGGGCAGATGAATTAAAAGCTTGAGGCCAATACTGCAGGGTCTGCATTCCCTCGCCTGGGGTGGGGCTGGGCGGGACACTGAGCGGATGCAGCCTCCTGCAGAGGGCTGTCAGTGGGGCTATCCAGTTGCTTCCCCCACAGGAGATCAAAACGTGGAATACAAGGGGATGGTGTGGCACAAAGACTGCTTCACCTGCAGCCACTGCAACCAAGTCATTGGGACCGGAAGCTTC